GTGAAGTATATGGACGATGAAACATACGGGAGGGTTTTCTGGTAACTTCTATGGCAGATTTTCATTTTTGATAAAGGATAAGAGTCATATTAGGGGGAAAGTCCTATTCCCTTCCATGTCCTTCCTTCCTGTTTGGGATCCTTTGGTGTGAGGGCACATCAGAGTTGTGACAGCCATCTTGCAACCATGGGGGAGGAGCCAAAAGAAGTCACAGAGACTCTAATAGCTCATTTCCATGAAGCTGCTGAACCAACCCTCAAACAGCCTATATCCAGATTTCTAGTTACATGAAATAATTGTCTCTAAGTCACCACTTTTTAGTATTCTCTTACTTGCGGCTGAATATAATCTTTCTAAGACAATGAATAACTGTGCCCTGAGAAGGGTCTCCCATTATATATAGGTACAAGAGGGCAAAGAGTTGCCTATTTCCAAGTTCTTTACTCTGCAACGAAGGTTTCCACTTAACCAGTCTTCCATGTTTCTCTTATAATCTTAGCATCATTCCATTACCCCTCCGATGTCTCTGAAAGATTAATAGTACCACCTTGACCCCCAGACATTCTCTGTTTATCTTTTCTGTTTTCTCGTTATCACTTTCCACAGACCAAATATTATATCTTGGTTTTTAATTACTTTAATGGGCCTCATCCATAGTAATTGGGACATTTAGGTCATTATCATATCTCCTCAGATCTTCTTGAACAATTTTATTGATCATCTCTTTGAGCAAAATCATGTGGGGGTACTAGACCCACATAAACTTGTAACTTAGGCCAAAAGTTGTCCTGATTAATTAGCAACATTTCCTTCTGGCGCAAAGCTGCCCTCCCTTTAGAATCGTGGTTCTCAGTCATTTGCGTATTGAGGTGGCCTAAAAACTCCCCTGATAGCCAGGTCTCCCCCATGCCCATTAAAATCAGGATCTCAGAAGGGCGCCTGGGTGGCTCAGTGGGTTAAGCCTCTGCCTTCAGCTCGGGTCGTGATCTCAGGGTCCTGGGATTGAGCCCCACATCAGGCTCTCTGCACAGCGGGGAGCCTGCTTCCCCCTCTCTCTCTGTCTGCTTCTCTGCCTACTTGTGATCTCTCTCTCTCTCTCTCTGTTGAATAAATCAATAAAATCTTAAAAAAAAAATCAGGATCTCAGAGGGGAGTCAAACATCATTATATTTTGTTACTGAAATCCCCATATGATTTCCATATGCAGCTGACTTTGAAAATCAACCAATGCTTTAGGCCAGTTCTCAGTCTTTAATGTTCATACGAATAACATGGAAACCTCGTTAAAATGCAGATTCTGATTCTGGTCTCTAGGGTGGAGACTGACACTCTGCACTGCTAACAAGCTCACAGGTGATGACCATGATATGGTCTGAGCCCCATGTTTTGATTAACAAGGGTCTAGCATCTAGATTTAATAGTCTATTTTAAGACTGGACCATAGCAGTGAAAAAATGATCACTGCAAGAGAGCCAAGAACTCAGGGTGGTTGTTTCTGTGTCTGGTTTAGTTACAGACTTAAGTGGACAAATCGTCCCAGTTTGCCTGGATTTGTAAACATGTTATGGTCATTAGGGGTTTCTGAAGGGGTTCCCAGCATGTGGGACTTTGAGTTTTAAAATGGGAAAAATGGGCCGCCTGGGTGGCTCAGTCGTTGGGCATCTGCCTTTGACTTGGGTCATGATCCTGGGGTCCTGGGATCGAGCCCCGCATCAGCCTTCCTGCTTGGTGGGAGGACTGCTTGTGTTCCCTCTCTTGCTGTTTCTCTGTCAGGAGTGTGGATGGAATCTTTAAAAAAAAAAAGGGCGTGGGGACAACACCTCATTATGACAACACCTCATTACAGGGTGTTCTTCAAAAAGGAACAGAACAGCCAAGCTTCACAGTTCCACATTCTCATTCCTCTTTCTGGGTACGGCAGTCCACCCCAGGGTCAAGGGTATTCTGGGAAAGATGGTTCAAGGGAAAGAAACACTGAGTTGCATGCACCAGGAACTTAATGTGACCTCAAAAAGGTAAACAATCGGGATGCCTGGGTGGCTCAGTTGGTTAAGCAGCTGCCTTCAGCTCAGGTCATGATCCCAGCATCCTGGGATCGAGTCCCACATCGGGCTCCTTGCTCATCAGGGAGCCTGCTTCTCCCTCTGCCTGCCATTCTGTCTGCCTGTGCTTGCTCTCTCTCCCTCTCGCTCTCTGACAAATAAATAAATAAAATCTTCTGGGGCGCCTGGGTGGCTCAGTGGGTTGGGCCGCTGCCTTCGGCTCAGGTCATGATCTCAGGTTCTGGGATCGAGCCCCGCATCGGGCTCTCTGCTCAGCAGGGAGCCTGCTTCCTCCTCTCTCTCTGCCTGCCTCTCTGCCTGCTTGTGATCTCTGTCTGTCAAATAAATAAATAAAATCTTTAAAAAAAAAAAAAAGGTAAACAATCAGGTAGATCCAGGCTGACCTAGAAAAATCCAAGAACAGTTTTATGACATGGCCACAGAGAGAAGTCCAGGAGACGTGGTTTAGGTCTGTCCTCTGGCCCCATGTAGCCTGGGGTAACTCAGTCACCTTATCTGGGCCTCAGTTTCATCAGATAAAACATGAGAGTTGAATTGCTGGATGTATCAGGATCTTTCCTGGACACCCTCCCAGCCCCCACTCCCCACGCAGCACCAGTAAAGCACACAACTGCAGAACAGCACCTTTCCAGCTCAGATGGAAAGTAAACGCATCTTCTGTTTCATGAGCAGCTAGCTCCAGCACGCCTCAAGACCCTCATAACAATACCAGCATTCATCTTACTCCAGCATCCTTCTCTTTGCTGCTTTGATGTTCAGAGAGCTGAGAACTCATGATGCTTTTTTTCTTTTTAATGGCGATAACATGTTGACAAATCCAAATGAAATTCTATTTTGAGACCCAGCCTTTTGGTTACAAGTGGCTTCCTCCTTCTGATCTTGCCTTCACCCAGGGAGCTCACTTCTCAACTTTTTGTTTTCTTTGGAGAGACAAAGAGTCTCCCCAGCCACCCATTGCTGGATTCCTGTTAACCTTTCATTAAGCCCACTGACAGCTGGCTCCAGCTCTTCATGAGTTAGTTCAACACATTCCCATTTAAATGTGTCCCACCTGGCTTCATTAAGGTTCCTGCCAGGTTCTCCACTTGCGGCTTCCTCTGCAAATGCAAATAAGATTCTGAGTAAATAATATGGAGACAAGGGAAGATTGAGCTATAAAGGGGTTGGGATGGGGTTTGGGATGGGAGAACCATCAAAACACTCATGTCGCCGTGGATTTGAGCAAACTGAAATCCATTTGGGACCCACGCAGGCCAATATTGCAGTTCTGTATGCACTGAATGTTAAACTAAGGCCCTGGTTGTGAAGTACAGGGTAGTGGTTAAGAGCGTGGAGTCCTTCCAGCCTGGTTCAAGGCCCCGCTCTGTCATAGGGGGTTGGTCCATGCGACCTTAGGCAAGTTCCTTCACCTCTCTCTGCTTTTGTTTTCTCAACTCCAAAAGCAGGAGTAATATACCTGTTTGGCTGGGTCGCTGCGCGGATTCAGTGAGAAATAGCCTTGAAACAGTCAAGTACCTAGACCATAGCAAATGCTACCTAAGGATTGGATGTTATCTCTGATTTAGCCTAGAGAGACCAAGGTCAAGGTTGCAGAATTAGTTTGTCATAAATCCTCAAGGTTGGATTGTGGACCCACCATGTAAAAATCAACTGTAAGAACAGCATCTCCATCAAAGTCCTTCCTTGCACAAATGGAAAATCAACACTGATTCCATTCTGTTGCATTTCCCATGTATGTTTCATCTCATTTAAATTTTTAAGCTCTCGAAGGGAAGCGATCCTCTCTCCTGGGCCCTAGATATTAGGAAGTTATTTGAGGGTGGCTACCAATTCATCCTGATTGCGTGGAGAGGGAAAGAGGAATTACTAGACCAACAGTCTCCTCTGACCAGGGAGTCTCAGCTTAAAGATTTATGTATCTTAATTCTTCATTTTGTAAAACCCACACCCTGCCTCCTAGACTTTGGAGTCTCAGACTGGTTTCCTTGTTCTAGCCTGTCGTCCTGGGTTGCCCAGGACATTACTCTCACTAAGTTGGAGTGATAAGTCCATCCAGTGGACACAGACGCATTCCACTCTGAACAGCACCAGCACTTCCCTAGCCTCACTCATCTGTAGTAGCTGCCTGGCCTCAGGCAGAGCCCAGGGGCTTCTTCCACACCATGGCTAGAAGTCAGGAGATAGGACTCTCTGATCTGCATTTAGAAAAGGAGAGTTCTGCCACAGCATGGAGAACAAATTGGAGCGGGGAGGACTGAAGATGGGAAGTCTAACCCACGCAAGCTTAAATGAGGGTTCTGACACCCACCTCCACCTGGACCTTTACCTCCTGCTGCAGGAAACTCCTGACTCTGTGCCACCACACCCGTCCCCAGAGAGCCCTGGTTAAGGGAGAACCTTTTCTCAAAAAAGAAAATGTGAGCCAAAATGATGGTGAAGTTCAATATTGCTTCCGGCATTACTGATGAGACCCAGACTCAGGGTTGCTCCGACCATCCCTGGAGGGGGGCATGCACTCCAAAAGTTGGGCATAAACAGAGAGATACAAATGCATAGGAGGCAAGGGCAACTAGGGTCAAAAAGGAACCCAAAATTGTGTCCCAGATGCAAGGCAATTTGGAGAGACCTGAGGCCCTTCTTCCTATATCCGGATAGCTGCCAGAAAGAAGAGAGATTACACATGTTCTGACCCATAAGCAGATGCTATCTGGAGACAGACTTTGTTTTAAATATTTCTAAGTCTCAGAACTGTCCTGAGATGGAATGATCTCCTTTAGATGTGGTAGTGAGCTCACCATCACCAAAGTTACTCAAGCACAGCCTGGAAGATCACTTAGCATGATGCTACCTAGGAGATTAAAGCACCTGGCAGAGAAGGTGCTAAAGGTCTTTAACGTACTTCCACTTGTGAAATTAAGGCAAGACTGGACCATGACACCAGTGGAATGAACAGGGCTTTAAAAACAAAACAACACAAACAACACATTCTAAGACTTGTTTTGACGATTCCCACATCATGTCCCCATCCTCCATCCTGAGAAAAGGTGGCGCATTAGAGCGTGAAAAGACCGTCTTCGTCTTCTCTTCCATGCTGCATGTCACCAAAGTTGTTTTTACATTCTCCAACACTGTCTAGCCTGCAAGGAGAAAGGGGAGTCTGAGAATGGAAAACGCAATGACCAGAAAGAAATGGACATTGCTCACCCACTACATAACTAACCACGGTTGTTAGAGTTTTGAAAAGGGCTCAGACTCCGTCCCGTCTAAGCCTCTTCATTCACACATGGGAAAACCGACACTGTAGGAGATAAAGGGCTTTTGCCAGTCTATTCCAATAAGGGAATTAAATGTTTCTATATTAACAGAATATAAAATCAATATCACAATGTGTGTATGACTTTGGAAAGCTGCCTTGCTGAGTCTCAGTTTCCCTACTTGTTAATATTTATTTGATAACAGATAATTTGGTATTGATGCAATTAAGGGAAGGCTACAGTCTTCAACAGAGTTTACACCGCTTCTTTTCATTTCTTTCCCCAAAAGCTATAGAACAGGACAGATGTCCAAAATCTCTTTCCAGAGATGCTTCAAACTATTTAAAACAAAACAAAACTGTTCTGATGGTCTAATATTGGGCAGAGGAACCAAACCCGAAGAATGATATTCTACATGTTTCTCATTTTCCACAGTGCCAACTCTCTCCATAAACTTCTGTTTAATAATGTCCTTTTAAAACGTATTGCCCAGAGTTGAACAATTCTGAGCACAGAGGACAGAGGCATATCACCTTCTTTCTTTTGCATGCCATGCTTCTATTAATGCAACCTGCCTTTGTATTTATATTTAAGAGAAATATAACAGTGTTAATCAAGACAAAGGTTAATGCGAGTTAAATCCCACAAATTTTTTTCACCTCTAATGCCACACTTCTCTAACCCTTAATTTAAACAGAACACAAGCACAAGTCATTAAACCACTGAGTAGTATCTAATCATTTGTAACAGCTTGTACAGTCATTACAACAATCAGTCATGCAAGATTAATTACCTTGTGTGTTTCGAGAAACAACTGGTTTTCATGACTTTCCCTGAAAAGACAAGGCCATGGGTAAGCAGGGTAGCCGTGCTAGAACATGTGAAATTCTGGGAAAGCCCAAAGCTGCCTTACCAAGAGCAGAGTTGGGCCAAAGGTGAGAATTTAGGGGCTGGTTTTGGCAGACAAAGCCATTCCTTTTACTTTTTCGGGCCCCAAGGCAGTGCCCATCAGTTACGCATCTGTTCCCGCATTGTTGGCAATAATGTTAAGCTGCTTCATTCTTACGTCTTTGGCCACCCAGAGTTGAAGCACTCACTTGAGTTTTAATTCCTGTTAACCTGTTTAACCTGTTAAACTTCCTTATGAGACATACTCACAAATTCCAAAACTGTATGAGGACCAGTGGCCTCTGCCTTTACAAAGGGCTTTGCAGGAAGGCTAATCGCAGGCTTCCTACTGAGATGGGAATTTCCTTTGTCCGTGTTCACTAGGAACAGGTATTGAAACATGCAAGTTTCACTACTGTTGCGTGAAAGGGCCAAGATGGTTAGCAGTTCTATTTCCTCATTTACCACCTCAAAACAGTTTCTGTTAATGACTACAGAACAATTTCCCCCCATTTTACAACAGAACCAGATGTCACATACCTCTACTTTGCATGACAACTATAAACCCTGTTCCATGACTCCTTTTTGCAGTGTGTTAAAACTATTTTTTTGAAGAGGTGTGGTGGGGTGGGGAGGTGTAAGGTCACGGACAGGTGAGGAATCTAATATGACTGTGGGTCCCACCCCCTGAGAAGTGCAGATCAGAACACACAAGTACCTTTGCACAGGATTCCAAGGGAATCCCTTTCCCCTGAGGTCTCTATGTGGAGCCCAGGTAAACAAAGCTTGCTTTAAGGCAAGAAGAAGCCTGAGGTCATTCATGGCTTTCTTCCTGGGGCAGTCCTAGCCAGAGCAGCAGGCTGGACCAGGGTTTCCTCCACCCTAAGACAATGATAATAATAGCATTTTTCACTTAAGGCAGTCATGAGGAAAAAAGGAGTTAGACACATCAGGAAAATAACAGCAGGACTGTCAGTGATTGAGTTTCCAGAAAAGCTCTTGCTTTTCTTTTCCAAAATATAAACTCCATCAGGGAGATGATACGTGAAGGTTTTAGCATCCGAGGGAACATAAGTTTCCCTGTTACGGCCCTGAACAGGATGGAGTCAGTGATGGAAATGGGACTCTGGGGGAAGGAGACAGGGGCAGGAAGCGGAATCAGTCCACTCCTACATCCTCCTGGATGCTCCCCAATTCCGAAGGGCACCATCCCACCTGGGCCTGCCCTCCTTACCTTGGAGGGAAAGCGCCACAAGCAATGCCAACAGTACGAATCCCAGGGAGGGAGCAATGATCATTAGCAGGTCGGAGTTGATCATTTTTACCTGGTGAGACACAGGGATGGCGATTGGGCCCGTCCTTTCTGAACATTACCCCTGCATGATTTTCCTGTCCCAGTCATACCTTCCACTCGCCAGCGGCTTTACTGCTTCCCCCCACCCCCAACTTTGCCCGATAGGGCTCAAGATGGAGGCAAAGCAGCCTTGCAAATCAGAATTTTTTTAAAAATCTTTGCAAATCTGGAACATTTACCCAGACCACCCAATTCTCCTGTCTTTGACATCAGGCATATGGGCTGTGGGGTTCAGGGGTCTGAAGGTAGGAAATCTTTTGCCCAGTCCTGGGCAGCTCTCCTCACAGCTGATTTAGACCTCCAGAGGCAATGAGATTCAAGAGAAAAAGGAACTCATTTCAAATTTTCTACAGCACTGGTTCTCAAAGTGCAGCCAGGGGACCCATGAGATCAAAATTATTTTCACGAACATTATTTGCCATTTTCACTGTCATTCTCATAAGATGGACAGTGGGGTCTTCCCTGAGGTGGCTTGACCAGTGATGTGCTGAGGTCATCCTTCCGATACTAGAATATGTAAGCAGATGCGACATTCTCTCTCCTTCCCACGCAACCAGATAGTCAAGAGATTTGCAGAAATGTAAAACAATGCCACTAAGTCCATTTTTCTAATATAGTTTCATTGGGGAAAATATAGTTGTATTTCATGTTATTCATGTCCACATGTCATGGATTTGTTTTGTTATTCTTGCTTTTAAATGAATTCATCAACATCGTTTTCAATTTCCGTTTTAATGTTTGTGAGTATAAAGGGGTCCTGACACCAAATCGTTTGAAAAGGGCTATTCTTCAGGCAGCTCCTAGTTTTGGGGGGGCCATGTCACCCCTGCTGCCCAGGCCACGTCCATTTCCTCACCTGCCTGGCCTTTTCTCGGACACAGCAGCAAGGAGAGCCAGCAATCTCCCCCTCAGGAGGGAGAAGGGAAGGAAGAAAGAAGGGATGCGGGGGGGGGGGGGGGGGGGGGGGGCTTCCCTTTTTGCTTATAGGTGTCAGTTCTGCCTGCAGTTTTTACTTAAGCAGCTTGAATCACTTTGGTGACAATAAAAATTAATGAAGGGTACACTCAGCAACTAAGAAGGATGCTGGTGGCAAGTATCGGTCCTGCAGGATGTCACTAATCCTGGGCCACACACAAGGCACACAGGATGATTTTTCTATGTGTTTGTACTTTTTATTTCTTTTTGTTTTTCAAAACGTCTGCACATAGAGAGGTAACGATAGGAGCACGATTTCTGCCAGGAGCACAAGGCACCAGCCTACAAATTGCTTAACTATTCCCCCTACCTACAGTTGCTGCTCAGATGTATCTGCCTCCCCAGTTCATTTCCACAAACCTCTATTGTGGTTAAAAATCAAAGTCATATGCTTCCAATACTTCTCAAAAATTTTACCTGTTCTGATTCAACTCCATTTTGCACAGGCATTTCTGTCTCCGTTGCTGGGAAGGAAGAAGATTGGGGGAGAAATGTTTATATTTCCTCTGGGGGAATAAAATACCACATCCTGCAACAGGCATTTCAAAGCGCATCTGGAATTTCAGTTGACATGTTTAATCTTTTAATCCCAACTTTCCTTTTTCGTATAATTTATTTACAACACATTTGTTTTGAGATGGTTTTATCTGAAGCTCACCAGCTATCCAACATTATCCCCCAGGAACATCTCCATTTTATAGAAGGGCAGGACGGGGCATTGGGCCAGCAGGCGACTAGGTCTAAATTTTCGGCTGGTGCCAGCAATGTGTCTGGGGTTTTTATCCAGCAAGAAAACAGTCCGTCTATCAGTTAACAAATACTTTTTAAGCATTTGTCTGCTAGCTATACTATCACCCTTGTTGACAAAACTTACAAGTTAATGCAGAAAACCAAATTTAAGCAAATAAGGTGAATAGCTGAAAAAATGTTATAATTGTGCAACGTTCTGGGAATAAAGAGTACAACAGTGCAATGTTCTAGGAATAAATAGTACAATAATTGTACAATAAATAGATATGTTTAGGGACATACCACAAGGATGGCTGACCTGTTCCGGAGGAACAAGGGTAAATGTCCTTGAGAATGTAAATTTTAAGCTGAGACATGGACTCATTTATTTATAACTGATAGCTGAGTTCAACAAGCGAGACATACTCTGCTAAGCACTGTTCCAGGCACTAAGAATACTAAGATGAATTCAGCCCCTCCCCCCCAACCATGAAATTCACAGTACATTAGAGAAGGCAGACCAGAAGGTCATCGCAGCCTCACAGGCCACTGGTGATGATGGGGTATGCGAGGTTGCCAGGGAGCACAGAGGGAGGGAGAGGCACATAGCCCAACATCATAGCTCAGTGAGAGCTGTTAGAATCAAACTCCTTGAGGACAGTGTCCCTCTCTGCTTCCTCAACAGAGGGACCCTAACACTGCCTGGCACACACTCGGTGCTCAATAAGTGTTTGCTGAATGACTAACATCTGAGCTGAATTAAGATTGTGTTAGAATTAGGGCGCCTGGGTGGCTCAGTGGGTTAGGCTGCTGCCTTCTGCTCAGGTCATGATCTCAGGGTCCTGGGATCGAGTCCCACATCGGGCTCTCTGTTCAGCAGGGAGCCTGCTTCCCTTCCTCTCTCTCTGCCTGCCTCTCTGCCTACTTGTGATCTCTCTCTGTCAAACAAATAAATAAAATCTTTAAAAAAAAAAAAAGATTGTGTTAGAATTAGCAAAGAAAGATGGTAAAGGCCTCTTAGGTAGGGCAGCATCAGCAAAGCCATGGAAGTGTGAACCAGTGTGGTTCCGTGTGGAATGGCAGGCAGCTGTGAAGGCAGAAGATGGGTGGGAGAGGGGAACGGCAGGGATGACCACAGAGATGGGCAGGAGCCAGTCAGGGAAGGCCTTTGTTTCATGCTGGTAAGTCTCCGTTTAATTCTGTAAGCAGTGGGAAACCGCAGAAACATTTTAAGCGTGCTATGGTCCAGTTAAGACGATAAGGAAATAGCCAAGATGAGAAGATCAATTATCCTCTGATGCCAGGTCTGAAATTCAGAGCTAACAGAAATGAAGGGAGAGAGGTGGATTCTAGAAATGCTTGGAAGGGAGATCAAGAGGATGTGGACACTGAACATGGGGGTGAGAAAGAACCAAGTCTTAGATAACTCACAGATTCTTGCTTGAGACTCTGGGCCATCGCTCCACTGTCCACCAAGACTGGACACAGCAGAAGCAGAAGGGTCCGTCCCGGGGAGACAGACGCCAAGCTCAAATTCACAGTCATGGCGTAAGGCGCCCGAGAGACTCACACAAACACCAGTCGCCTCACATGCAGCTGATGGATTCGAATCTGAATCAAACTCGGGGAAGGTTGCAGTTGCAGATACTGATTCGGGAGTCATCAGTCTCCAGGGAGCAGTTAAAATCCTCTGAATGTATAAGAAATCCAAGGGTCACGTGTTCAGAGAGAGAAGAGCAGGGATCCCAAGAAACCCCAGCTCCTGAAAGGTGGACAGAGAAGGCGGGGAAAAGAGAGAAACAAACAGCAAAGAGCAGCAAGTGAAACCAGGGTCACATAAGCCGGGACAGGAGAAGATGCCTAGAAAGGACGCGAAATCATATGGACAATAAAACCTGCCTAAAGAAAGAGAACATAAAGCCACACATATACGAGGCCTGAGTAAAATAAAAATCAAGGTGAATAATTACTGAAATTGATCATTGTTTCTCCCAAGCTTCTTTGCACTCTAGGTGTAAGAAAAATGTGATGGGTTTTCTAAAGCTCATAATTTGGTACAAGAGAGCTTATTTGTTCGACAGGGAAAGTGACTTGTTGAATGCCTATGAGCCTAAAACTCTGAGGGGAAAATTCAGCGTGTTTTCATATCCTACAACTCAGTTATTGTTGTTTTTCTCTCCGCTATTATTCCCTAGAGCTGGAAATTACAGGTAAGAATTCAAAACTCCTACCCCTGTTCTGTCAAAATCCTGTAGTATTACAATCATTTGTGATAGATAAGACCGAAATTGAAACCATCAAAGAGAAAAGCCCGCCTAGGTCAGTTTTGTCAGAGCTAATCTGTATTTTAAGTTGGAATTGTCGAGTAGGAGAGACATTTTGCAAACACAAACACTGCCAAGGAACACCGAACACTACTTCCTCTCCCTGCTCCCTTCCTCCTCCTCTTCCTTTTCTTCCTCCTCTTCCTCCTCCTCCTCTTCCTCCTCTTCTTCTGAAAATGCCAAAAGCCTGAGTGGGAAGCGCTCCACAGCGACAGTGTTAGACACGGAAGAGCAGCAAGGAACATGAGTGGACAGCCATGTTTGATCCTTGGGAAACAGCAATGCTAGCAGCTGGGGGGTGGGGTAGACAAGCGAAGACTACTCGTTTCCTAGTCTTCTGTGCTATCTTGGCCCTGACATTCTTAAGACCCTGAACCCTTAAACAAGCACATCCAGGCAAAGGCAGGACTGCCCCATACCCCAAACTTGCACAAAAAGCAATTCTGGGAGAGGGGAACTATGGTAGGTTGAATAGTGTCCTCCTCAAATGTATGAGCACTCAGAAGCCCCGACTGTGGACTTTTAGAAATAGGGCATCTTTGCAGCTGTAATTAGTTTGAGGATATTGAGATGAAATCATCCTAGATTTAGGATAGGTCCTAAATCCAACGGCAGGTGTCCTTATAAGGAGAGATGACACAGAGAGACACACACACAAAGAAGGCCACATAAAGACGGGCAGAGATCGAAGAGATGTGGCCTCAAGGCAGGGAATCCTGAGGCCACCAGAAGCTGGAAGAGGCAAGGAAGTCTCTTCCCTTAGAGCCTTTAGAGAGAGCATGGCCCCCCCGACACCTCAATTTTAGGGCTTCTGACCTCCAGAATTGTAAGATAATACATTTGTGTTGTTTTGCACCACTACATTCTTGTAAATATTTACAGCATCCCTGGGAAATTCATACAGAGACACAGACTCTGTACAGGCTCGTGGTCATTAAGATCTTCCATGGGAATCTCAGCCCTGGGGATGGGCACGTGCGGGGAAGATTAACCTTTCATTTAAATGTTTTTTTGTACACTTTGTACCTTTACCATATATATGTCTTCTATCTAAAAGAAATTAATTAACATGTAATAACAATAAAGAATCTTCAACTTAACTGCACTTTTCCCAGGTCTATGGACTCACCAATACTTCTGATTAATATTAGATTTGCCTACAGGGTGAGAACATATTTACATTAAAAGAAAATACCCAAATATGGACCCGCTAGGCAGAGTTCTCATTGTAAATCAGTAAATTGGCTTTCTGGTTTAATTTTAGGCTCTTGATTGAGTTCTTGATAGGCATGGGTACTTGAGCAAAATGGAATTCCTACAAAACTTAATCCCAGACCTTGAGCACTGTGAGGCTGTCTCTGAGCTTCCCCTACCCTTCACTGTCACTGAGTATCTGTATGCCCCACATTTCTCGGCTGGGTGACCTCGGGCATGACATTTCCTCTCTCTGAGCCACAGTTTATTCATCTGAAAATGATGGTTTGCACAACTGATCTCCTATGTCCTTTTTATCCTTTATATTTCTGGATGCCTTTTTACAAAAAATTTGAATGACCCAAGAAAATGATCATTTCACAGTAGTTTTTTAAAAAGGATTTGAAGCTATACTTAGTATAGGAAATGAATATGTAAATATTTAAGAAACACATGCATACCTCTTCCTTCACAAAGAAAATTTAAAAATACTGAAAGACTAAATACATCTGACTTTGGGTGGAAATATTATAGGCAATTAAAATTTTCTATCAGTACTCCTGTATACTTTCTAAATCTTCTCAAATGAGAAAACTTTAACTGTAGAATATATACCATGTGTTAATCACTGAAACTTGGCAAGATGCCTGAGTCAAGAGCCAACTCTTGTAGCATTTCTCTGAAACAACTCCACAGTGACCGTCTAAGTGAAACTTTGAAGACTGATGTTAGAAACCCATTAACTCACAACTAAAGAAGAGCTAGGTGATGCTATTGGTAAAAGACACACCCCTAGATATAAGAGTCTGGCATACAAAAGTGTTCAGGATATGTATATACTTTTTAAAAGATTATTTATTTATTTATTTGACAGAGAGGCAGACAGGGGTGGGGGGAGCAGGCTCCCTGCTAAGCAGAAAGCCCAATGCGGGGCTCAATCCCAGGACCCTGAGATCATGACCTGAGCTGAAGGCAGAGGCTTAAACCACTGAGCCACCCAGGCGCTCCTGTATATATTTACTTTTTTTTTTTTTTTTGGATGGTTTTAAAGAATGAATGCATGTAAAAACTGGGGAAATCCAAGTAGAGTTTGTAGACTTGTTAACTGTATGGTGCCAATGCCAATTTCCTACTTTAACCATGTGCTATAGTTATGTAAGATGTTGGGGGGAAGCTGGAGGAATGTAAAGATTTCTCTGTACTATTTTTGCAAGTTT